GAATGTTTGCTGAACATTAACTGAAAATTTAATCAGCAAGCTTTTTAGAGTCCTTGAAAGTGAAAAAAAAAATTCATTTTTCCTCTGATGTTTGGGTGAACTCTTCTCTGCGGAGGTCGGCCATCTCTCTGGTTCTTCCTGAAGGAGATATTATTTTATTTTTTACACCTGTTGGCCTCAAGTTTGGTTACAAATATGACTATAGTTGGAAAACATCAGCGTTAGCTTACCGTCTGGGCAACCGGAGGATCCTGGACGGACAGCAGCGGTGCATGTCTGAAAGATGGCCTCCGATGCAGATCTCCAAGGCTTGCCACCGTCATTCTTTCAGCTCGATGCTCCGTAGAGCTGCCACTGGATATTGCAGTTCACTTACGATGTACAGTCAAGTCTGCTCCTTATAGTGGAATCACAGCTGGTAGCTACGAAGGCGTCCTGAACCTTCAATCGTAAGCCAACTTCAGCGGCCGCTTCGTCCAAACTATAAAAACCCTTGACGGTGAAGCTCTGAGTCCATGAGAGCCGCCAGCTGAAACACGTTCTGTCTGAGCGGCAACACCAAAAATAAAGTCAGGAGTAATAACACTATTTTCTAATGAAGTTAATGAGCTTCAGCTTATTGATAACCCGGTAGTAGGTCGCCATCTTTCTTGAAGCAAAGTACAGGTGACGCTAACCAACCAATTGGGGAAGGTGTAGCCTGATGACGTGCCTCTCCTCATTTGCATTTATTTTTTTTCTAAGTTTTGCGGGGAAATAGAATGTGATAAATAAGAAAATAAGGAAATACTAAATGAATAAGGGAAATTGGAAAATGGTAAAATAAAAAATTTTTCAAACAAATGTTAAATGAAAAATAGATAAAAGTAAAATGGGTAAATAAAAAAGGGATATATGAGAAATTGATTAATGAAAGTGGGAAATAGAAAATCGGATTAATGGAAAAAGGAAATTGAAAAATGGTTAAATTAAAAAATAGATTAATGAAACATGGGTAAATAGATAAAGGGATACATGAAAAATGGACAAATGAAAAATAGATAAATGAAAATTAGATAAGAGAAATTGAGAAATAGATAATCTGAAAAATAAATAAATGAAAACATTGGCTTAATGAAAAAGGGAAATTGAAAGTGGTTAAATGAAAAATAGATTAATAAAAAATGGGTAAATAGATAAAAGGATAAATGAAAAATCTGTAAACAAAAATGGGACAAATTAAAATTGGACAAATGAAAATGGGAACATAAAAAATGGTTAAATTAATATGGGAATAAATAAATGTATAAATGAACAAATATAAATGCGAATAAAAATGACAATTATTTATTTAACTCATTTTTATTTATTTCACTAATTTTTTCATTTATTGATTTATTTTACTTATTTATTTATTTCACCCATTTATTTGTTTATTTAATTTTGGCTGAAATGGTTCTCCATATCCACTTAGTGTTAGTCTTGTACTTGAACATGGATTGGGGTGAGTTCAATGTAGTGGTGAGGGCCATTATATAGATATAGAAAATATACTGATAATCAGAACTGATTTGAAATACTAAAGGTTTAGTTGGATTTATTGTCACATAGAGCAAAAATACACAATCTTACAAAGTATTTTTGGTCTAGTTTCTAGTGCAAATATCTTAATACAGTTGAAATAAAACTAAACTAACGTACAAATAACTTTGCTGTAAGATTTAGGAGCTTGTTTTAAGTCAATAATTCCTTAATTTTTAAAAAGTAAGACATTCTTGCAATGCCATAACATTTTGTGTTTTTGCAGAGTAATAAAGGCTATGTGCTTTATGCAGTGTATCTATATTATCTAAATGATTTCAACTGTAGAAACACACACACAGCTGTGGAAGCTGTGTGTGTGGGGCGTTTACCTTAAGAGTACCAATGTCTTCGGTTCGAACCACAAATTCGTCTCGCTCCCGGAAGATTCCCTCTCCTCCACTCCCACTGTCCTCCTCTTCACTTTCACCAGCAATGGCAGCGTCAGCCTGCTTCTTTGCCAGGTGCAGAGAGGTGAGGCGCTGCAAGGCCTGGGTCTCCTCCGGAGTCGGGGGTGACAGAGGCTCAGAGGACGATGGGGAGGGTGAGGAGGCAGACTTTGAAGAAGGAGAACGTTCGCTGGCTTCATAGTCCTGGTCCTGATCAGAGGACGAAGGGGGGGGCGTGGTGGAAGGAGGGGGGATGGACTGGGGAAGGTTGGAGAGGGGGGATGATTGGATGGCCGGGGGGGAGGTGGAAGGAGGTGGGGAGGTGGAAGCCTGGTGATAGGAGGATGGCTGAGGCTGAGACTCAGAGGACAGGCACACTGGACATACCTCGTCCTCGCCCTGCTGGATGGGCAGCGATGAGGGGAGGGGTGAGGGTGAGGAGTAGGTGAGCGGTGAACACCGGACAGAAGGGGATTGAGATGAAGATACTGGGCCAAGTAAAGGTTCTGGTGGAGGATCTGAAACACAAGTTACAACATTTTCTACTGAAGATTAAAGGGGCAGACAATATTATGTATTTTCCAGCCACACAGTCACATTTTATAGCACAACCAAGTAACTATGTTACTTTCATAAAAACGATATATATATATCAAATATGGCTTAAAAGAAATTTTACTTTCTGGTTAAATGTCTTTAAATTGGACCTCTGTCTCTTTAAAAACTCCTGCTCTTTCTGAAAGTAAGTCTTCACAACATGCTCCTCTATCAACCCTTTAACAACGTTTTTTTTTTACTAGCGTTTCACTGAGATGTATCTCGTATAATGAGCTCAACAAACTGCAAGAACACAAAATCCTATCAAGTATTTGTGCATAGTTTCTAGTGCCAATATCTTAGTACACCTGAAATGACACAATACTAACTTATAAGTAATTTTTCAGAAAGGAGCTTGTCTAAAATCAATAATTTCTTAACATTGATTAAAAAAAGCACTAGTTCTACTGGCAGATTACTTCATTAATAACATGGGAAAGATGTCTTGTGATAAGTGAAATAATCTGCTAATGGAACTAGTACATTGTCATCAATATTAAGAAATTATTGATATTAAGAAATTAAGATCGGAGCTTAATTATTGAAAGTATGCTCCCCTCTCTTGCTGAAACGTTACTTGTAATTTAGGATTGTGTACCAAGATATTTGCAGTAGAAACTAGACCAAAATTACTTGATAAGATTTTGTGTTTTTTCTAGTGCAGCTTCACAGTTCCACCAGAAGTTTGGAAACTACATGCCCGAGCAGGAGCTGTGTCTCGAAGGCGGCATTCGATCCACCCAGGCGTTTTGCACAGCTGAATGGTTGCCACAGGAGATTAAAGGATTTCTCAAACATGCATGAAAGAATAAGGCAACACTCCAGGTATGTTTTTGATGAGAGAATAGCATAACATGATGTAAAAGCTCATAAAAGTCCATTTTACATAATACAAAATAGTCACCATTCATTTCCTACTGATTTTATTACCTTCAGAGTTACAAGCCTCCAGACCATCAGTCAGTTTTTCCTCCACCTCCGTTCCTTGACTCTCCAGATTCTCAGATTCTTTTTTTACTTCCTCATTATTCCCAGACTCTTCCCCTCTCTCCTCCTCTTCTCTCTCTTCTTCTTCCCATTTCTGTGCATCTCTCTCCTCTGTTTTTAGTCTGCTTACCCATGTGGAGCTAACCCTCTGATCCTTGTCCCCTGGTATCTCCTGCTGACCATATGCCAGCGACTCCTCTTTTAGGTTCTCTACAGTGGGGACAACAGGAGGCCCAGCAGGTAGGTGAGGGCTCACAGACACCCCCTGAGGCATCAGTGGGGAAGGGGTAGGCTGGGTCTTGATTATGGCGGAGGCCATCACTGCAGCCAATGAGTGTGGGGTGTCATAGAGGGCCGAAATAGCAGACGAGATGCTCTTCTGCAGATCCTGGTTTTTGCTCACAGAATCCTCCTCATCTGAGGAGAAAGACGGCAGCGTCTCCAGGTTCCGCTTCAGCTCCTCGTCCAGAGGCTTGCAGGGACTTGGGCAACCACTGAGCACCAGCTCAGTACCCTCCTCACTCTGCCTGTCCCTGCTGAAGTCTTCAGGAGGTGGCTGTGGAGAAGGTGGGGGTTTGGAAGGAGGAGATGAGGACAGAGGCCTGATTCCTCCCTTCGGAGAGGGACAGGCATCCAGGACGTCCTGCTCAACTTCATCTTGTTCCAGCATCAGGTCAGACTCGTTCTTGCCTGTCTTTAAGAAGTCCAGAAAAGACACCATGAATCCAGGTTTGAAGCCCAAGTCTTTATCATCAGCCTGGAAAACATTAGAGTCTCACCAGTGACCATGTTTAGCATTCTTTATTACAAGATTGTCCTATATCTAATGTTGGTGTTTACACATTCTCTCCCTATGATTATACTACACTATAACTATATTATGCTATAACTAAACTATAGAATCTTCTGCAAGTAGAATATTCTATATGTGACTGAAATGTGACATTTCAGTCACATTTACAACCACAAACATCTACACTGTTACTCATAACATTGTAATTAATAGAAAAAGGGTGAGTGACTATAACTTGAATTTGGTCAAAAGTTTTGCTAACACTCAAATAAAATAAGTTCAGTAAATTTTTGATAAGTGAAACGGTAGACTCCAAAGCTTCATATATGCACTCAATTCATCAAGAATGAGCCACTTTCAGAGCAGTACAACTCTTACTAGCAATTTTTTTCTATCAAGTAATTTTGTTTTTATGCAAGTAGTTTTAAGATAGAAATAAAAAGTGCTTTTAGAAAACAATGGGATTTATTTATTTATACAAAAAGGAAAAATGCTTTGGGTAATGTTTAATTATAACATACTCAAATTTATTAAGTTAACACAGTGGTTCCCAATCTTTTTCTCCTGGG